GTATTATGTATAAGAATATATTTATATTAATCTCAACGTAATTGTAAAGTACGATAATTTCCAACTACACGATTATTTGATCTGTCGTTTTTAAGTTGTAAACTCTAACTAGTAAGAAAACTGAAAGAAACAGAAAACTTCAAACATTTACATAATGCCGCGGTGTAACAATTATAGTATCGATACATAAAACACGTATATATATGTGATTTCAAGTATCGATACCGTGATAATGAAAATATTCTAAGAGTTTCTCGTAAGTTGTTTATACACAACTATAATGATTTTAATCAATCAATAACAAGGTTCTTTAATGACAAAAACAGGTGCTGACATCTATAATAAGGTTAACTCACGGCGAAATTATGTGAGTAACCATGACGTGAGTAAGTCTGTCTGTCCGAAAATAACTAACGGGAGACATCTAGCGGAAAAACACTATAGAGTACGGAGACGTATTTATGACGTCTTAAATACGACCGTAAATTTGAAAAAATTCGGGCTCTGACCAGTTTTAGCACACTCCGTATGCTTGTGATTTAATCCACAGTATTTGCAAACCAACGCTTTGCAGTCTCGCACATAGTGGGACGCCCCACACTTGAAACATACTGGAGACCTGGTTGGAGGTTGCTGGACTGCATTAACATTTGCTTCAGATTGGGTTGGTTTTACTCTCTGTTGGAACTGTATGATGGAGACTACTTTTGAGGGTCATATCGGCATTTTAAAGAAAAAAATTTAAAAAATTTAAATTTAATTTATAAAGCATAAACACTTTATTTCAGAGACACTCTGTAGTCTGTACATGTATACTCCTTTATGTTTTTCATGTTTTGTCTTTGGATTAGTGTGATGAATCCTCTCTCGACTTTACCATGAAACCTTGAGAATACTAAAAACGTCTGCCGGCCGATGCATCTATTAACTTAACAGACCTCAAATCCGTCTGTCGGCCGATACTTTCAGAATAATGAAATAGGTATAAAGGGTTTTAAATTTTGGTTTGCTTTAATCATCATTTAATTTCTCCTAAAATATGGGACAGAAATAAGATTTTCAGTAAATACTTTTATCATTTTCCTTTACAGTCCCTTTAAGGCACATTAAGAATCTGGTAGTTTTCACATTTTTGAAATGTTTAATCTTACGTGCTTGATCCATTATGAAGTGTTTGCTTCTGTTAATTTGTCGTCACAAACTCGGCACTAAAACTAAATATTTGGAGAGAGGTTAATCCGTTCATATCTATCTATCACAAGGCATTTCTGTTAAACAGGGATTAGTATCTATCTATCTTCATTGTGTAGTGTATCTATATATAACCTTCTATGCATTACCTCTCTCCGGTCCAAATGCATATTATGTCAAAATTATAATAAACTTTTATTTAATATTTAGCTTCATTTTATTTCATGCCGGTTTCGGGCGGATGCAAAATTTTAATATCTAACCAACATTTTTCATGATAATATAAAATAAAACGGGAAAAAAGAACGGAGTTATTAAGTATTTCGTACTTTTTTTGACGATTTAACAATTAAACCCGTCCAATGTCTTAACAAAGATAGTAAAATATAGTCATTTCTCACTTGAACCCTAGAAACCCATTAACGTAACTAACGTTAAATCATAACGTAATGTAACGTTACGTAACGTACATCCCCTTGGTAGCTATGATCTCAGCGATCCAAAACATCCTTGAATTGCTGATCGTAAAAGATCAACAAAACTCGCCCACTGTTACAATAACACTGAGGTAGAAGTCCAAAGGAGTTGCGGGCATGCTGCGTTGAATTACAAGACAGAGAGAGAGCCCTATATCTTGAAAAGACGATATCTAGTGTTTTATCTGTATTGTTTTTAATCTATGCTAAAAATATTAGACATGTATTTTTGTAAATAGATTTATATAATTTAGCTTAAGTTCTTCCCATTAAAAATGACAATTTAAAGAGGATAAAAATTGAAAATTTTTATTTATTTAAAGTGCCATGCCTACTTTCAGCCAGCTAGTTTTTTGTGTAAAGATATTGACCTTTAGACGACAAAAGGGTACAGTACTGTACACTAAACTAATCATATCCTTGTATGTGAGTGTAATGTGAGATATTAAAGTATAATTATCAAATATGCATGAATTACTTTAGTTGGTGGACATATCGTAATCAAAACTGGCCATGACAATAAATTGTTAAAATAAAAGTCTGTTTTAAATGGTATTTTATCTATTTTCAAGTATTCAAAAACATTTTTTTGTCATCTTTGAATTGTCATGTTTTTTCGGGATCGTCGGGAAAGCTATAAAAAAGTGACTGTATGTGTATAAGCGTAATTTCAAGTGAACCTCCATGCAAAGATGGCAATGTCCGATTTACAACGGTACCATTGAAACCTTTGTCCGATAAATAATGTGTAAGATATTTTTTTCGTTTTTCGTCGTATAAAAGATATTTCCGTCATGTAGTCCTTCAGAAATGTACATTGCACAAGCATCTTTTGTAGAAAAACTACTATTGAAAATAATCAGTTTTCAAAATAATAAAAATTGATGCCGAATTCCAATTTGACACAGGTTTTAATGGTACGGTTGCGAATCGGGTATTGCCATCTTTGCATGGAGAGTCAAATGAAATTATGCTTACAGTCCCTTTAAATGAATGTATACTCTGATGCTCTTCTGGCCATTGCAGCCTCTGCAAAAGGTCTCTTCAGATAGAGCTTCTGAAGAACATCATCATTTTCGGATATTTCATCCAGGAGTTTGTGAGCCTAGACATAAAAGAATTTAAACATTTTTGTTCTTTTCAATAGCTCTTCATTAAGAGGACTTATGATTGGAAACATGTACGCATAGAGAATAGAATATATTCTATTCTCTATGCATGTACGACTTCAATCTTTTGTGCCATTCGTTTAGTTTGTTGTGCTGGTTTCTCTTAAATTGCAAGTTAAAGAAATAGATAATTTGAAAGTCATTTTATATTCATTTTATTACCTCCTGTTTCATCATTCTGTTCATTTCATTCCTTGTCTTGGCACTTTGAACACCGCATTTCTTCTGCTTGATCTGTAATTCCTTTAAAAAGTAATATATCTGTAATTATGTAATTATGTAATTGCAAGTGATCCAATGGCAGATTAACAGTGGTACTATTGAATCCTGTATCTGATCAATAATGTGGAAGAAATGGTCAGTTTAAAGGTTTAAAAGTGATTCATTGAAATAATTCCAATATGTTTTCCAGTTCCTGCAGTACAAAATGTTTTCCAGTTCCTGCAGTACATTATGGTTTCCAGTTCCTGCAGTAAAATATGTTTTCCAGTTCCTGCAGTAAAATATGTTTTCCAGGTCCTGCAGTACAATATGGTTTCCAGTTCCTGCAGTAAAATATGTTTTCCAGTTCCTGCAGTAAAATATGTTTTCCAGTTCCTGCAGTAAAATAAGTTTTCCAGTTCCTGGGTTTTCCAGTTCCTGGAGTAAAATATGTTTTCCAGTTCCTGCAGTAAAATTTGCAAGTCACTTAAGTATAGAGAGAGACCCCACAAATAAGAATGATAATTTCTTTAAATTATATAAATATTCGACATATCTAATTCATATTTGATCAGGCAGCTCTTAAGAGTACCCTTGTAAATCTGACATTGCCATCTTTGCACGGAGAATCACTTGAATTTACACTGACGACATTTTTTTAATTGTTGTATTATGTCAAACATTAAACCGAAACAGGAAGTTTTTTCTCCAGAAGAATAAAACTCATTTTGCAATTTGATTTTTGATTTTGTTTCTGCGTAAAAGATTATAAGACTATAGACTCTAGAGGTGTACCTTTATTTGCTTTTTAATAGTTTTAATGCTCTCTAGAAGCAGTTGTTTCTCCTTTTTCTTATTTTTAGCAGCATCCTTCACTCTTCCTTTCAGCTTACTCAAGGTGTCCTATAGCACATTGATTTTCATGAATATCTGCACTTCATAACATCCTAAAGAGACTGTATGGGTAATTTCTATTGACCCTTCATGCAAAGATGCCAATGCCAACGGTACCCTTGACATCTTTTTCTGATCAAGTATAAATTAGATATCAATGTTTATAATTTTGGAAACTGATTATTTTTAAGTGGCGTTTCTCTACAAAAATTAATTACGCTTTTCTACTGCAGAAAAATAAAGGAATTATTAGAATATAAATTTGTTATATCTAGAAAAATGTTCATGTCACATTATTGATCAGATAAAGGTTTTGCAAGACTGCTGTTGTGAATCGGGCATTGCCATCTTTGCGTGAAGCATCCTTTATAAAATGTTATATTGACCTGAAGAATTGTAATTTTTCTCTTCTGTTCAGATTTAATGATGGCATTTTCTTCTTCATGTTTGTTCAACACATGAATCTCATAATCTGAACAACATCTATATATAAATTTGGTTTGTCTGTCTGTTTGTATCCAATAAACGTCAAAACGGCTGAACCGATCGGGCCCAAATTTTTTGTGGGACATCTAGGGACCCCAGGGAAGGCTTATGAATCATCAAAATTTCAAATATTTGTCTCCATCAAAATTCGATCTTCATTAAATTTTTTAAATTTTGAAAATCCGCGAATTATTTTTGTTTTGTTTTACGATGTACAGAAAGAGAACATGTTCACAACTAATTTAGAAGATGGGCGCGAAGCGCCCTCTAAGGCTAGAAAGAAGGGCGCGAAGCGCCTTGAATTTCTAGTTGTTTAAAATGTAAAATTGTGACACACAAATCAAATATTATGTCAACATTATAGTTTGGATGGGTTTTTTCCCCCTTAAAGCTTAGTATGTGTGCGCCTAAATATTCTAAAAACTACGCAAAAATGTTTTAAATTTTTTTTTAAATGGCGGGCTGAGAGCTATTTTAAGAAAAATAATATTTTTAAAAGTCACAAGTAAGACCGGAAAAAAATCAAGCAGAGTTTTGTAAAAAGTCGTTTTTCGGGCATAAATTAAACAACTTCACAATTATTAAAAATGGACCGAATTCAGCGGAGTTACATCTTTTCATACCCATATCGATATATTTTGAAGACGTTTTTTTCGGTCCCATACAACTACAAGTTATTTTTTCGATCTATTGTTCTTAAAAAAGGCTCTCCGCTCCACATTTTAAAAAAAAATTTCATTAATTTGCGAAGTTCTTATAGAATAGTTAGGCGCAATTAGGTGGTTAAGCTTGGCTTTAAAATGGACCCACCCTATTAGACATATGCCATTACTGCCTTTACATGCCCTTAATATAAACAACTTGAGCAGTAATTATTGTCTTCAAAGCTTACCTAGTCTTTCTGAGTTAAGATATGTGATTGATGCCACAGTCTGAATTTGTGCCTCTAACTCTCTTAAAAGAGAATAAATTAAAAAAATTTGAAAACCCAAAATTATGCATTGAATTATATCTGTTATGGTTATTTAAAGAAAGATTTGAACATGCACATTTAATTATATCAATTATATTATTTTTGCCCAACTCCAACTTCTGAAAAAGGACATCCACTAGACTATCTATTTATCCTAACCTAACCTAACCCAACCCAAAATATAGTATTATCACAGCAGGCTGTCCTGCAGTGGTGTATATTTTTTAAAAATTCCCTCTCTTCCTGTTGATGGGGGGGGGGGGTAGTGAAAAATTTCACATCAAAAGGAAAGTTTTTAAATTCTTTTTGATTCTTTTCACCTAAAAACTCATTTTTTACCCCAATTCCTTCTGGGGGGGGGGGGAATGACTGTTATTAAAGAAGGCGTCTTGTAGATTTTATATTTTTATGTTTTCTACCTTATTATCATTTCCATTCTTGTTCTTGTATCTGCAAGCTTTTCATAATCCACTATAATTAGATCATTCAGCTCTTGTTCTTGTTCATAAACCAAATCTAGTCTTTCCTGAAACAACATTCAACTCTTGTTCTTGTTCATAAACCAAATCTAGTCTTTCCTGAAACAAGCAGGTTTGAAACGTACAACGTTGTGTGTAATTTCAATCAGTTACCCTTCCTTTAAAAAAGGCATGCAAAATTGACAACGATACCCTTTAAACCTTAATTTGAACAACGATGTGGAAGATATCGCCGTTTTTCTTGTTTGAAATGTGCTGACAATTTCATCCATTGTTTTTGTGACAAGAAATCTCCAAGTCACTTTTTTTAGAAACTGCAATTGCAAGTTGAAAATTACCAGACAAAGCTGAAAGTGTACTGTTATGAATCGGACATGACAATCAATAAATAGAGAGAAACTTAAAATTAGATCTAACAGACTTCACTCTCTTATTTTCTTATTTTTACGTAGGATAAATATAGTAACTGTAACTGTAACTGTAACTGTAACTGTAACTGTAACTGTAACTGTAACTGTAACTGTAACTGTAACTGTAACTGTAACTGTAACTGTAACTGTAACTGTAAATACAGCACTGCAAATTTTACTTAGTTTCATTCTGAGACATTGAAAAACTTATAAATATTTTTTTGCTTATATTCTGTATGCTTGGGAACCCCTTTGCCTGGAAAGTTACGAGTTATAATTTTATCTACAAACAGATATTCGTTTCTAAGCAATAAATATTTTGATTAAATTGCCGTTAAGTTTATGTAAAGAACCAAAAATAAACAAGTTGAACCTGCATTAATTCTTCACTGGTTCTTGTAGCTCCTTCAAGTAAAGCTGTCCAGGCTCGTTCTCCCCTAACAGATTTATAATTAAAATAAAACTTAGATTTATTAAATTCATATTTGTGAACTAAAATTACCTGCTAATGGCGTCACTTTTCTGTTTGTCAAAGGCAGTGTCAATGTTGGTGTGCTCTGTCTTCAAAATATTTTCAAATGCTTGAGCATGTGCTTCCATTCTCCCTGATATTTCACTAGGGAAAATATACATTTTATAAATAGTATAAAATAATAACCCTTATATCCCTTGATATTTCACTAAGGAAAATATTCATTTTACAAATAATATAAACTATAAATAACCATCATATCCACCAGATCTTTGTATACAAGAAAATTATATTTCTGGAAGAAATGTAAATAAAAATTGGCCTTAACGGGACCGACATGCTTAATTTTAATGGAGGCCCTCCGTTTTTAGAGTGGCATGTCCAGCTGAAATGGAATCAATCATTTTATCTGATGTTTGAATAAAAAGAAAATTGTAAAAAAAACATTCGTCCCTTTTAGTAGTGAAGCCAATGAAATCCTTGATTATATTGTAGCCAAAGCATAATTCATTTAATTAATTTCAAAGTGATCCGTTGCTTTTGTTATAAAAACATTTCCTGTTATATCTTCATTTGCCCTAATATATCTTTTAATAAAATTACTTGACATTGATATGGTATTGTTCTATGAGAAGCTTGTAGTTGGAATCTGCATCCCTGTTTTCTGCTTCTAACATTTCTATCATTGAATTCTTGCTCCTCAAGAGTTCACTGCAGAGCTCTTTTTGGGAAAGAATCTCATCAAAGAGTTCAACTGGAGCACCGCGTAATTTCTCCACCTGTGTAGAGATGGGCGTTTGCCTTTTTTTATTTCGTTCGTTCATCGTTCGCGAACGACCCATTTTGTTCGTTTTTCTTTCAATCGTTCATTCAGTAAAAAAATATAGTTTTTTTTAAAGTCTGTTGGAAAAAATCGTTCATTCAGTAAAAACGTATAGTTAAAAAAATGTGTTCAAAAAAATTGTTTGTTGAGTAAAAAACGAGTTGTCAAAATCCTTTGGAAAATTTGTTCGTTCATTTAAAAAAAAGATAGTTTTTCATTTCTCATAACGATCTGCAGGTTGATCGTTGATCGTTCGTTTTTTTCTTAACGACACCATGTTTACGAAAAATTTAGTTCGTTCACTAAACTATGCCCATCTCTACTGACCTGTGTAGGCCATGATGACATTATCTTCTTGAACTTGACAATCATCTCTCTATCCTCCTCCTCTAGTATGCTGGTGATCTCTTTACTCTTGTCTTCTGTCCTGACTCTGTGTTGACAATACAAGTTCTGCGTAGCAACTTGAATATTGGAAACCAACTCGTTTCCATTCTGAAGCATGTTGTGGATCTCCTTGGAACCCTTGGTATCAGCTTCGCGGACAAAATTTTCCTCTTCGTCGTCGCCCTGCAATCATTTCAGTAAATTTCTTTTTATTTTAAGAGGGATTATGGCGTAATCTCAAGTAAATATCTACATGCCCAATTAACATTGATACCCTTTAACCCTTGTATTTGTAAAACAAGAAGACTAGTTGATAAATTGTAGAATTGTGGAAATACGGAACAAAGTTTTCTACTTTACCTTAAAGCCCATTAATTTTTGAATCTTCATTAGCTTAGTTAATCTCTTGGCTGCTTGTATCCTTGTTTGTATACGTTCTCTTCGGGCTTTAATTCTTTCCTAACAACACATATTTAGATTAATATTAAACATAGGTTCACATAAACAATTATTTTTTAAGTTGTAATCCACATTAAATGACGGCAATTTTTGAAAACTAAAAAAATTCAACTTCCAGAAAAGCTAATTATAAATAATTTTTTATAATTACTTTATAGGAAAAGAGAAGCAAAAGATTTTTGTAGGCAAAATTGGCGGTGAAATTATTAATCGTTTATGATGTCAAAAATGTGTTCTCATAAATCGATTTTAGTAATTGATCACCTCCATTTGATCAGCATCTACCTCCCATATTGATTTGCTAGGCCCTGAGTTAGAAGGCACATCAAGCGACATTTTAGATCTGAAATCAATTCTAAATTTGACTTTTTACAAAAATAAACGATTCGCCAAAAGTCACAATATTTTGAGTTTTTTTTTAAATTTTAATTCTTAAATTATTGATTTACATAAATTTTTTTTGTAAAACTTTTAATTTGTTAATTTATGAAATTACTAAATTGTTTAGTTTGCTAATTAGTTCAAACAGAACCCCCCTTCATATATTGAATTTACTCCTCATAATTTTGAAATTAAATTCTATGAATTTAGTAAAGTGAACAAACCAGAACAAAATGACGACTCAAGTTATAACTTTAAATAGGATCCAATTATTGAGCATAAATAACTTAACAATTGAGCAGTGTAAACAGACTTATTTCGCTAAATATTTGATTTAATGTTATTGTCAAATATAAAACTATTTGTTGTGTATACACTTAATTATTGTCATAAGGTGGTCTTCCTATTCCATTATTTTCTGGTTATCGATTCCAAAATTTTGGATTAAACTAACTATTTCTGTTTACAACGCCTAATTGCTTTTGAATTTTTAACTACAATTTGAAATTTTGCTATTTATCTTTAAATTTCAATCTTAGCTTGAAGATGTCTATATATATATCTACACATTTAAAATTAGAAATGTTGGATTTAATCTGAGTTTCCTTGTTCAGTGGTAAACTGGCGATATGCTATTGTTGTATGTTAAAGATTTTACCGTAGTTTGTATAATCAATACCTATTGCCTGCGCACCCCCACCCCTGCACTCCTTCCCCGATATCCCTCCCTTTATTTCCTTTTATTCTATTCTTTAAAGGGGAAACTAAATGTACCTATCCAAGCATAAAGATGCATTGATCCTGTGAATGCTATTTATTACTGATTCATATCAAGCATAACTGTATCTTTTCAATATTGAAAGAAAGACATTAAAACTGATAATTTATTCATATTTCCATAAGGGAAAATAACTGCGATAAAATAAAGGGTTCCATGCCTCCCATAGAGTACTCGTTCCATTGATAGATTTTAAACCTGGCTATTTTATTGAACATCGTTTATTAATTTAATATTCAAAACTTTTATACCGTTAATCTTTCTAGAAGTAATATTTGTCTTACATTTTATACATGTACGGTGTACCATGAGAATACATGTACGGTGTACCATGAAAATACATGTACGGTGTACCATGAGAATACATGCACGGTGTACCATAAAAATACATGTACGGTGTACCATGAGAATACATGTACGGTGTATCATGAGAACTCATGTACGGTGTACCATGAGAATACGTGTACGTGTACCATGAGAATACATGTACGGTGTACCATGAGAATACATGTGCAGTGTACCATGAAAATACATGTACGGTGTACCATGAGAATACATGTACGGTGTACCATGAGAATACGTGTACGTGTACCATGAAAATACATGTACGGTGTACCATGAGAATACATGTGCAGTGTACCATGAAAATACATGTACGGTGTACCATGAGAATACATGTACGGTGTACCATGAGAATACATGTACGGTGTACCATGAGAATACATGTACGGTGTACCATGAGAATACAAATTGGTCAAAAGGGTTCCTATAAAATGAGTTATGATCGGACATAAAAGCAAACAGAAACTGTTACTCAATTTCTAGATTTGTTAAACCAAGCAAAGACCATTACTGAGTTCCCCAGTCAAAATTCGAGGCAAATCGGTCAATAGATAAATTAGTTATGATTGAGCAAGCAAAAAGAGATAACTTTATAAATATAGGAACCTAGCGTTTGCATGGAAACTAAGGTTTATTTATAAAAGTGCATTAAGACCAAGATAAGGACACTGGCCCGTGGTTCTACCAAGTTCCCCAATCAAAATTTGAGACAAATTGGTCAAGGGGTTTATGAGTTATGGTCGGACATAAAAACGAACAAACAAAGATTGCTACTTTATACGTATTGATACATAATATATAGATCTGTATTTCCTATCTTGCCATTACTTGAAATCGTTAATAATCGATGTTTAATTAATGTCTCTTCCCCCTGGTCAGTTCAATGTTAAAATATTATAACTTAGCCCGGTAATTAATCCATTGTGTCTTTAATGTGGTTTTATTTTATACTTCCGGTAGGGGATGGGGGGGATCACCCCCCCCCTTCCCAGAATAATATTATCTTATAAAATGATCTAATTCAGATTCCTAAATAATTAATCTAGGTTCAGATTTTAAAATAATTTAAAATTACTTCTGGTTAAAAGTTTTTATCTTCATTTTCAACTTGTTTACTTAAAAGATTTATTAACAAATTTAAAAACAGGTTAAAGAGTACCACTGATGCGAGATAAAACTCATTTCCCGTTATTCTTTCTAAAATAAGTTTAAAGGGTTTGTATGCATTCTTAGTTACACCCTACACTGGAAAAATAAATATCTGTTGCAAAAGCGGACCTACTATTGAAAAGTAAAAGTTTGGCAAATTCATACATCGCAATTCGCGAAAACATATTATCAAATCCGCGAACGTTTTTCGTATTTGTTTTATACATACAAAGAGAAGATGCTATATCAGATAGAGCCATGCAGTTAAAAATCAAAATAGTATAGATGGGACCGTAGCGCCCAAAAGTCTAGTAATCATATAATAGGGTAAATATATCAATCAAAATGTAGATGAATCTAAAGTTTAGAAATCTCTATCTTCATATCTGAAATTCTCTCTTTTAAGTTTTCCTTCTAGTTATACAACGCAATTCTGGATAAAAATTAATTTTGTATCTAATTAAATTCAACAATCCATTTATATAGAGTGGCATGTCTAATTCATAATGGGATACTTTTAATCAAGAATGAATAGATATCCTTATTAACCTAGCTGGTAATTGATCTTACTAAATTGAGACTTCTCTGTGAAATTGACTCGCAGTTAGATTTGTTGTGCAGAAACAACGAAGAAAGGTAAGTTAGAATGAATGTAGTAAATGCCGTATTCTTAAAAGTTCGTCCCAGGTACCACTTTTCCGCTATCAAACTCAACTAGGACACAACCCACCTGGCTCTAAACGCCACACAGGGACAGAAGTGTAGCTATCCAACAAGCTATTATCAACCAGGATACAACCCACCTGGCTCTAAATGCCACATAGGACACAAGGGTAAATATCCGACAAGCTATCAAGTCAGTGCTCTAAATGCCAAACAGGGGCACAAGTGTAGCTATCAAACAAGCTATTACTCAGGTTCTAAATGTCAAACAGGGACACAAGCGTAGCTATCAAACAAGCTATTACTCAGGTTCTAAATGCCAAACAGGGACACAAGCGTAGCTATTAAACAAGCTATTACCATGGCTCTAAATGCCACACAAGGATGCAATCCTTTAATGGATCTCTACTTATACTGAGTAGGATCTCAACCCGAATACTTTATTCTGGGTCCAATTACTCTACACTTTAATCGAAACCGAGTTCTGATTCTAACTAACTGCGTTTGAGGTTTATATGTTACAAATTACAAGTATTTACAATCCAACGTTGTTATTTATATCACATGATTAAGACAATCATGTTGCATATTACAGCACAGTTGAAATAGGCGCATTTAGATATGCATATTTATAGGATTTGTAAGGATAAATATAGCATAGTAAAGCTATCTCCATACATGTTTATATGTTGAATGTACGTATTAAAAGGGTTTAAGCTAACCATGCTACGTATTCATTTGAAACGCAGTTCAAATGAATAATGATTTTTTTATGTATAAGTTTACAAACATAGATAATTAATATTTTACAATGTACTACAAGTTTACAGAATATCATGTGACCCGATATTTATTACATGAACCCCTAAAAGTAATTACTTTTCCAGATTGGAAAACGATAATATCTTCCACATTTTTACTCAGATAGAGGTATGAACAGTACCGTTTCTTAATAAATCAGTACTCTTTACATTATGGGTCACAATTAAGAAATTACGTTTTTCACTCCATTTAAGCATTAAATAGTAATTCATTCATTAAGTTCTTTTGTAGGGGGTTATACATTTCTTTTTTTTAGAGAATTGTTTATTGGAAAATATAGATTTTTTTTTCGATTTTTATTCGATTTTTCAACATTATTTATAGTTTTAATAATAATGCATTCAGTTTTCAGGTTTTTTTCTTATTATAAATGTTTTTGTTACAATTTCATATTTTTACTGAGAAAGTGGGACAAATTGTATAATTTTTACATTTAAAAAAATGACTTGACAAACTATTTGCCATTTCAATCACGTTTTATAGCTAAAAGTGGTTTTTGCATATCAAAAAGATTATGGTTCTTTAGCAAAGGCGTATACATGGGGTGGGGGGGATATGATGCACTGAGCCCCCCCCCCGCGTTGGAAGCGTCAAAACGATTTGAAAAGATGAAAAATTGTTATAATTATATCAAAAATGTTGTTTACCCCAAAAAATTCTAAATTCAGTGATAAAATAAAAACCTTTATTTTTTCTCTGGGTTTCAATTTTATTTCCAAGACAGTCGTTTTATTTTGTACATTAAATAAATGTGACAATTACATCTGATCTCCAAGAATCTAAAACTAAATTAAATAAAGAAAACAATTTTATTTAGTTTCATGCAAAAAACAAAAACACATAGTCAATGATAATCAAATGTTTATTTTTTGTAATGCAGATAAGAGGGAATGCTATGCAGTAATAAAGCTCATTGTAACGAAAAAAGGATTTAATTCAGAATGAATTTAAAGATGAATGCTTAAATAGAATATGTAGAAGTTACGGTGAAATGAACCCGGCTTTTATTGATTCCGTTTCCTGTAAATCCGCGTAACTACGCATGGTTAACATGTAAGATGCGTCAGTTGACTTACAGCAATGATACGCAAATATTACATGTGAGAATACGCTGAAACTGTTCCTTGTTTTGTGAGAAATAAAGATGTTGGAGTTTAGAATTTTCCTACTGTCGTTTCAGGTTTCTCTAGGTTAGTTCTTGGTTTAATTTAGCACCAACAAATAATTATGAATGAAGAAATCCATATTTTGAAATAAATGGTTTGACAAGGTAAGACTAAGGCCTGTCATACTTAAAAGTTTGCACGTACGTTCTTAATAGTTGGCTTCCAATTGGTATAGCTGTACTGCAGAGCTGTACAATAAACTGTTTATTTTAAACATTTCTAGTTTTTAAATTTGTAAAAGTTTTAACATTTTGTGAAATCTTGAGAAGTCCAGAAACTTTGTATTTCCAATATCTTAAGGTCGAAATTTTATTCAATTGTACAGTACGATCCTGGTCTACTGCATTGTACTATCCACCGTACAGCACAGTACGCTCCTCTGTACTTCAGCTATATTTGTTTAGTGTACTGGCCGCACTATCCACCGTAAAGTACAGTACGGTCTTCTGTACTAGTACTATTTATTTAGTGTACTGCCAGTACTATCCACCGTGAAGTACAGTACATTCCTCTGTACTATATATATTTGTTTAGTGTACTGCCAGTACTATCCACCGTACAGTACAGTACGGTCTTCTGTACTAGTACTATTTGTTTAGTGTACTGCCAGTGCGTCCACCAGGCAGTAAAGTACGTTCCGCTGTACTATTTATATTTGTTTAGTGTACTGCCAGTACTATCCACCGTACAGCACAGGAAGACCCTCTGATCTTGATCTTGTAGCCTACCCTTCACAGCTTCACACCCATTTAGAGACCCATCAAGGGCATACTCAGGATCATCAGGGACATACTCAGGCCCATCATGGGAAACCAGTGTTTACTGCTATAGATGTTGGACCATTTAAACCTTGGAGGTGAAATTCACAACAAAAACAGCTTAGTTTGTAAATCATTTGGATTTTTTTTAAGACTGAAAATGTTCTTGTTTTAGCATTTTATTAGTATGTTTTTAGCATGGGTTCAAGGACATTTTGTTAAAACATTAAAAAAAAAATGAAAATGAAGAAAATAAAAAGCAAAAGACGGAAAAATTTATTAATGAGCAATTTTGTAAAAAATATTAAGTAATTTTAAAGTTAAAAACTTTTAATTAATACTTCTAAGAAATTTTAGTTGAAAAGGCACTTAGTCTTCAATCCGTTCAACTAATTAATCTATCTAAAACAGAGTCACAGGATAGACATGATAGTTGAGTTGAGAATGCGATATTGAAAATAATATCTTCAGGATTTATTTGAGACCTATGAGACTTTTTTTTTAATAAGAGTACATTTGTTCTCAACCTGTTCCTTTAGACAGGCCATATTATTTTACTGTTGAAGTTGTGTTTCATTTTTCTTCGTCGTTTTTAAAAACAAATGAATACCGAAAAATGTCTCTACAATACTGCACTCTCGATCAGCTCAACTACCATGTCTAGCCGGTCACTCCCTTTAATTCTAGTTTTCCCCCCAAATACCAGACCGATCCGTTAAACCATCCTGTTCACAATCCTTCAAAACATCCTGGATATCAAACCAACATCATCATAGATCCATACGCTAAGGTAACTTTTTATTTTGGACCTCGAAACTAGATTAAACTAAAAATGCCCGGTTGTTATTGACCTTGTCATGCTTTTGTCCACGTTATTCATAAACCATTACAGAAAGGTTAATTTCGAATATTAATATTTTTTTTATTTACATAGTAGAATGAGTTTCAAGGGGGGAAACACCAGGATATATCTAAATCACCGTGAATTACTATCTATTTCAAAAAACCTAAGAACTTGATTGGTGAGAGTTCTGGTCACGTGATACGAACGCTATCAATTAAATTATCATTTATTTTCATTAAAAATTAAAAATTATAATTTTATAAGTTGTTCAGGCTCCTCTGGGATATCGTCGTTTTCAGAATATGATCTGTTTAAAACTTAGATTCTTATACCAAATCTTATATATATAAGTTTTAGTATAATTTTGACACAGTTTTATATCAATGTCTCGAGAAAGGAACATCAGATAGAACTCTTATAGGTCTCGATCAACTTCTAAAGTTCTTAGGTTTTAGCCTATACACCCTTTCATTTTTCGCCTACAGTCCCTTTACATTTTCTAGCCAAATGTTAGATTTAGAAACGTATTTGCAGAAGAATGAGTTGACAACTAATGAAAAGGGGTTCTGTCATTGAAACATGTTGTATATTAATATCTTGTAAAAATATTTAATAATACTTGATAGATGTCAAATTTTACGGATCATTTAAGCATACAGTTGCCACTTTAAACCATATGTTGCATGCATTTTGCACAAACATTCTTGAATTCTTAATCTCCTGTTACAAAGCAGTATCTGTTTATATCATATTGTTTATTTTAACCAATTCCGGCAGGTTAACAGTCTATTGTAAAATTTATTATTCATAATTTTTTGTATACATTGAAAAAACGTTTTTTAAAAAGTTTTTTAATCCTAAAAAGCAAAATATTCTTAAAAACCAAATAAAATATGAGTAATTGAAAAGTAAATTTTAATAAAAAGTACAAAATGAAAGTAAAATCCTGAAAATCTAAATATTCAATTGGTTTCCCAAGTCTGTAAGATTAAATACAGGGTTACCCAAACAAAATGAGACTGTAAGGAAGACCTGAAACCTTCAAAATGTTTGATTCAAAGGTTGAATTATTAAGTTTTCTGCCTTCAGTACGGTCTTGTTATGGATTTCTAAATGATTTGGAAAAGAAAAAAAGAAGTTGCAAGGGAATCATGAATATAAAGAAACAGACAGTATAAATCCCGAACAGTCGTCTCTGAAGTCTCATCCTTTGTGGGGGTAGCCCCCCGGTTTATATATATATAGGCCTTTTGTAATATGTAAATTTAGAATGATGAAGGGGTGGTGGAGATAATAACCCAGGACCTAGCAACAGGAGTACATGTAGGACAAACTAGTTGGTCAGGTGGGTACAGTACAGTACAGGAGTACATGTAGGACAAACTATTTGGTTAGGTTGGTTCAGTACAATACAGTACAGTACAATACAGGAGTACATGTAGAGCAATCTAGTTGGTGAGGTGGGTAAAGTAGAGTGCAGATTTCATTTTTTATGTGGAGGCTCAATTTTGAGTTATTCTGCTTTAATTTTGATCTTTCTTTCAGTTCAGCACCCCCCCCCCCCCTGCTCCTACTCCTACATATTTAATTGGGCAAATATTCTTAAACTTTCAGTTCAGCACCTCGGCCCCTCCTTCCCCCTGCCCCCTATTCAAGATCATATTTAATTGGGCAAATATTCTTAAACTTTCAGTTCAGCAATAAAAATTATTATTTTCTTCAAAAAATAAAAAAAAAATAAAGTTTGTGGCAAGTGATCAGTTTCTTTGAATGATGACTTGGGAGCTATTTGATTAATAGGATATGTGGAAATATTTTAGATCAAAATCCTAGATAAAATAGACTAGATAGCTCATGTCGTCTTCACCATACCGGAGGGTTGATCTCAGCTGAAATTGAAAATTTGAATTTAGCTCTGTACTAGCTATAATGTATAAAACTAGCCTTAGAGGGCGCTTCGCGCCCATCTTCTATATTAATTGTGAAACATGTTCTCTTTGTGTACATCATAAAACAAAACAAAAATAATTCGTGGATTTTCACAAAAAATTTCGTGGATTTTCAAAATTTTCAAAAATTTAATGAAGATCGAATTTTGATGGAGACAAATATTTACGGATTTTCACAAAAAAATTCGTGGATTTTCAAAATTTTTAAAAATTTAATGAAGATCGAATTTTGATGGAGACAAATATTTGAAATTTTGATCATTCATAAACCTTCCCTGGGGCCCCGAGAGGTCCCACAAAAAATTTGGGCCCGATCGGTTCAGCCGTTTTGACGTTTATTGGATACAAACAGACAGACAGACAGACAAGCCAAATTTATATATAGATGAGTTGCGGCAAGTATTGATAATACAAATGCTTTGGGGTGTTTGTTTAGTATAGAGGACCAGGCCCGAAATTTAAAAGAGTATTGTTGAACGAAACTCCCGAGTTTCATTTATGGGGTCTTAACATTTGTGTAGATTTTGATTTAAGAGTTTTTAAAAAATGGAGAATATGAAGAAACTTAAAAAAATAATATTTCATAAAAAAAATACTCCAATTTTAAACATGAAACATAACATTTATGAATTCAGTCTTTTTTTGAAGATTTTGTGTTTCGAATCCAAAGTATCCTTAAATATCCCTGAATACAGATGTTTGCTGATTGGTCGTGTAAAGTACACAATAGAACATGCTGTGAAAAATATCGCATATTTTAGCTGATAATCGATCTCTGTAACTCTCTTATCTCTGGTCTGCATAAACAATCTATTCTAATGTACAGCTGGTGTCCCACATCATATGAGATCGTCAATGGGTCTGAATTACGTTTTTCGAGACTAATCAGAAAATTTAAGAACAATGAATAATTTTGAAAAATTGACTAAGGCTAATACAAAAATTTTCTTGCGAAATAATCTAGGTTTATCGAGTATTATGTGTTTATTTTGGAGCTAAAGCTTGAAGAGATCAAGGTTATAATGTAAGGAAAGTCAATTGCAGTTTCGTATACTCTGCGTACATATTAAAACCAGTTCTCTCTGGGCGGAATTTGTAAACAAGAATAGTGTTCGTTTATATCTGAGGAGTATAAAAGCATCAAATTTTGATAATTTTGATAATTCAGATAACGTTCCCTATGACCAGAATATTTCATTGATTTTCTATGTAAAAGATGGATCCCATGTCAAGCTTCGACCTCCGTCTTGTGTTTACATTACCACCTTGAGACAGTACACTGGAGTACAAAAATTGCGCATACCTCTGCAATAACTTTCCCTACATTATAACCTTGGAAGAGATAATCTGATATAATATGGGACGCTCTGTATCTAGGATCAAAATCTATATAAATCCTTGGACCAAAAATTGTAAATTTTAGATCAGTAAATATACTTTCTACACGTGCAGTAGAGAATTTAAAAACAAATATTTATTTGTTGATTGCAAATTAATCCTTGTAAAATCAATTTCATTATAATATTATCAAATCATATAGTAATAAGGTTTTTAAACAGTATAATTATTAGTATTTAGTAATAATAGTGACTCTCCATATAAAGATGGCAATGCCCGATGTACCCTTTCAAGCTTTGTCTGATCAAGTAAAATTTGATATCAATGTTTATGTTTCTTTTGATTGTTAATTTTCATATGTTAATTCTCTGCGAAAGTTATTTGTGTATTTTTTAAATAAACAAAGCAATGAAGAAACTCACAAAAAAAGCATTTTACAAATTAGAAAAACGACGGTATCTTCCACATTTTCGATCAGATTTAGTTTTTAAGGGTACCGCTGTAAATCGGACAATGCCATCTTTGCACGGAGAGTAACTTGAAATTATACTTACAGTCCCTTTAACAAGGTTTGTTTTTAAGGAATCAGATTTTAAAAATTACTAAATGTAAAATTTTTCAGGGCCGGGAACCTTAACCCTGTCATCACTTACTTCGTTGCACGGTAATAAAAAATTGAAACATTTGATTAGAGTAATTTTTTCTCCTTGTATTAACAATTTATCTTTAAATTTTTCAATAAAAGATAGATACAAAATATTGTAAATTTATTTTAACAGAATTTCTCTGTCTCTTTATTTTATATTTCCCACTTGTGAAAAATATTTAGGGATTCTTAGGGAAGAAATACAATGTAACAATTAAAAAAGGTCTTGATAATGCCTTTTTTTAGCTGGAACCCCAGTCCAGATCAAAGATCCAAACAGTGAATACGAATTTATTTCTCTTCCTCAAACTAAACCTTTCCGCCCTCCTTATCAATCCGCCCTACTCTCATCCTCTTCTCATCCTCATCAGCAACCTCCTCATCCTCATCAGCAATCTTCTCTTCCTCAACTGCATCCTTCTTCTACTTAACTAACCCTTCTCGTCCTCATCGACAACCTTCTCCTCAATCCTATCCTATTCAACCTCATCCTTCGCTAAAGGTTGCTTTTTTGCTAAATTTTCTGAGGCTTGACCTTTTATAATCCATTCAAGAGGACACAATTTTGTAAGCTTAGTCTCGGGTCCAATTACCAGTATTTTCAGTTGATTTATTTGGCATAATATGCAAGTAAAGCAAATATTTAAAATGTTTTTTTGTTTTACACTTTGTAAACTTTTGTTGCTGACAGAAGATATATGCAGAAAAATGATCCTTAAACGAGAGTGTTTTTGGATGTTTTCATAAACGAATACCAACTGAGTCTGAGCTCTAACGTTCGAAGTTAACCCTGAGTTGATGACAAAGTAATTTAAGAAAATTTAGTCCTAACATATCTTCAAGATTTTGCCTGAATTTTGACCTTTGATTCTAATTTTTCCTAAAAAGCTTGATCCCGGCAGCTGAAAGTTGTTATTTCCAAAATTTGGGGTATTATGTTTATTTCGAAATAAGTGAACAGTCCCTTTAAAGCCTGTGTTGTCCTGTCCAGGTGCTTGGGACTGGATGCAGAAGAGATTATGACTGTGGTCTAGCACTAAACTCAGTCTGTGGATTCAACAGTTTTTGTAAGGTAAGAATCTAGTGATCTTTTGCTCACTTTGAACAAACTGTCGTTAATTTTTTATGCGACCCTCTTAAAAAAAGGGGCATGACCGATTCACATCGGTCCCTTTAAACATAAATCTATAATGTGGAAGATAACGTCTCTTTTGCAGAGAAAATAAACAATTCCCATAAACAAAAAATTGGCTATCTGATTTATGTATACTTGATCAGACGTATTTGTTGTGAATCGGACATGTCACTCTATCAATATACAGTCACTGAAAATTACGTGTGCAGTCTCCAAAACTAGCATTATGAATTAAAAAAATACCCAACGTTATAAACACTCATATATCAATTGCATCTTTTAAGATTAACTTAACTTGATAATCAAATCAGTTCTTAGATATATTACGTTGTACATTGTCATTAACAATGCAAAACTTGTAATGTGATTAAACTAGCCTAGCTATGTCTGTAAATACGGCAAAACCTGTATTGTGATTAGCTTAACTACGCTTATATATGTCCGCGATAATCTTGTAAATACGTACATTAAACTTAACATTGTAACATATATATACATAAATACAAATTAGTGGGAATATATTCAATTTGATTATGGTGAGAAAAGTAATTTGTTCCTTGTTGAAACATACAAGCTGATAAGATCGTCCCCATTGATTTGGCATTGATAGTTACAGTGCTGACACCGGGGCCTATGAGATTGTGCCCATTGGTTTGGCATTGGTAGTTACGTGCTTATGTCCGTGTTGACATTGGAGCTTATGAGATGGTGCCCATTGGTTTGGCATTGATAATTTTAGAGCTTGTGTCCCTAATGACATTGAAAGCCTATGAGATTGTGCCCTTGATTCCCATTGATAGTTTTACGAGTTGTACCTGGGCTGATATGATTCTGATAGCAGTTTTAAGAGTATGGCATTTTCCAGACTTTTTTCTTTTCCAACTTTGAGTGGAAAATATCATTTTAAATTTTATTAAAAGCAAAAAGTTTACTAGATTTTTTTTCTGGGTTTAGCATGTTTTAAAAACAAATAGCAAAGCTTCTTACAATTTACTCATATATTATACTATGTACAAATCGATTTATTTTTACTTTAACAATTGATTTATTGATTATTTGATTATTTTTCAGGTAACGTATAGTAATGGCTGCAATCAGTATTAATGTTATCAACTGATATGATGCTAACTTATTTATTTTTACATAAACGATTGATTGATTGATTGATTGTTTTCAGGTAACGGATGGGAACGGCTGTAATCAGTATATTTGCCAATGTCCCAAAGGTTTTATTGGAATCAGTAATCAAGCCTTTGGTCAACACTCATACAGGTTTAAGTTTCAAATAATTGCTGCATAGTAAACAAGAAGTCTTGTGGTTATAATTCGATCTAATTTTAATTGAAGAACCCATTTTTTCCCATGAAATGTAGATTTTATTATTTGGTATTTTTTACTTTTTGGTATAAAAGTACAGATATAGAGTCTTCTACGCAATTTTTGGCAGATTTTAAATAAGAGATGAAAATATTCATTATAGGCAGTTTGAACTTCGTTCTAGTTTTACGCGACTGTTTTCTACCGAAAATCTAGGGTTGCTTTGTGACACTTTTTTATAAGTTTTTGCATGATCTTGTGAATTATAATAATTTTGAAATTTTTATCTAATAAAGAAATTATTTGACAAAAACCATGAAATCCTGAATATGCACAACCAGTCCAACAGAGAAAAGTCTAAAACAAAATTGCATTTAGCTAGGCCAGAAGTTCTGGCAAAAAAACAAAAACAAATTCATTTTTTTCAACTTCATCCTTTGCTTATACATTTTAAACTTTGATATTTAAGGTTTGATTTTTTTCGAGAAATTTTTGCGAAGAGGTTTTTTACAAAATTATTACAAATGTTACATTAATATTACAAATATTACAAAATTACTTATTTTTTAGATTATCTAAAAGATCAACAAGATACTACCAGGAGTGCAAGAAGTTGACCCAGTAATATAGGATTAAATATAATATTAAGTTATTGTAACTTTTATTTATTAAATTATTGAATGTAAATATAAATAGAATTATCAAGTAAAAATTATATGTAAAACACATCTACAACTTTTGTGAAATGAGGATAATTCAATTTTGGATGATCAATTCTAATTCTAATTTCCATGTTTGATGTCAAAATATGACAAATGATACATTATTAGAAAGCTCTAATGCTCGACTTTTAGAATCCGCAAAAAAATGGCCAAAAAATATAAAGTATACATTTTTAAAAAGCCCGTGACCATGCCATTTCAAATTTGCAAAAAAAAAAATTGCAAAATCTTAGATAACCTGATGTGTAAATAAGAAAACCTAAAAATGTGGACATTTCTTTTGACAGGTTGTATACAAAAAAGTTTGCGAACATTTCTGAGCAAAACTTGAGCAATCCGTTTTCTGATGTCATATGGCTTTCCAAAAAACTAAAAATTATCAAAATCTGGCAACTGAAAGTGGGTCAAAACAATGATTTAGTTTGTTACAGGAAAAAGGAGTCAGTCAGGCAGTGTGCCCAGTTTTAGACCTAAAGGGAGAACTATGGGTATTTAGGATAAGTCATAAAATTTCAACAGCCTCCAATACTTTTTGAGTTATGTAAAAAAACTACATGGGGGCCAAATTGACCCCCCCCCCCCAGCAGGAATAGGGTTAAAAATTAAGATAATATAGCCATTTCTATTAAATGTGAACAAAGTCTTTGATTATAGTTTCTAATGTTTATAAATGTCGTTTTCCAAATATCGAAATTCAATATCCTCTTAAGCTTCCAAAGTATGTGCATGTGTTTAAAGGATTGATTATTTGGGTTTATTTACCCCCCCCCCCTCATGGAAATGTAATAATCCGGAAATTTGTTGCGTAGACCGGAATTCCGGGAAAATTTCGGATCAACTGAAATGTTCAGTTGCAATTTATACGACTCTCATCGTAAAATAATCAATTTTTAATTTCAAACAAATCATTCAGATATAACAACCAGTAAAGTCATCGATTATTTTTCGACGCATTCTTATTTAGTTAATTATATTAAATTAAATTAAATTAAACTATGTTGTACGATCTCTCTCTGATTTTTACTTCACATATATTTCTCATATTTTCGCTTTAAACTGATAATATAGATAAATCGTTGATATCCATGTTTATATAGTTGAGGCAAACTACAAAATTTTTTTCTAAACATTTTATTTTTTACTAATTTTGTGAATGCAAAAAAGTACTCGATTTTACAAGTTCTTCAAACGTCGTCTTTGAAATGTCTTAACCTTGAATTTTCATGCGTTCATAGTTTTTCCTGGGTTTAAAGAGATACAACGAAAACGAATAAGGATATATTACATATTATTCAAAATAGGTGTAACTAATGTAAACTGTACAAGGTAGATCTAAATAAGTACCGAAAATGAGTGAAAATTTGAAGCCTAAATCATTTCAATCAAATGGGAAATATGAAAACTTTAATGTTTTTTAGTTTCTTTTAGTTTTTTTGTTAATTAAAGATTATTATAAAGATGGTATGGATATCAACTTTTCAATTAAACCTATAGAAAGTTCTTATCATGACGACACTCTATTTATATAAGTAAAACAAACATTTTCAACATTTAATATCTTGAAAAGTTGCCATTTAAAAAAACCATCCGTTTTGCTTTTATTTTTAACCATTATTTTTTTCAAAAACAGCTATTCTGTCAAACGTTTTAAAAATTAACTGTTTACGGACTCTTCCGGTTAATTCTCGAAAACCTCCGTTTTGTCGGAACTTTGACTAAATTGCGGGGTTTTACTGCACCTTAACACCGCGGTCACATGTAAAACCACGTGCTTTTTTGTTGTGTTTTATAAGAATACACGAAATACCATTTTAAAAGCACGTGTTTTAACACGATGGCAACTTCGTAGAAATCTGCGAGGCAAGCCATGCAACGTGGAGGCACGTGTTGAGTAGCGTGCTATCTAGAGTTACCTCAACACTTTAGGGACAGGTGAGTAACAACGTGCAATGAAAACTAAACATTAAAACAGATATCACATTCTTAAATATACTTATTGTACTGTAATCACCATGGGGGGGGGGG